GCTGAAAACTCAGACTGTATCTCTGCTTTTGAGATAGGTGTTTCAGCATGAAAGAAGGAATTACAAAAATCAGGATAGGACTTATATTGCTAGCAGTGTTAGGTGACAAAAAAGCGCTATTTTCTACAAAGAGAGTAAATTTGGGACTTTTCATAAGCCTTGATGTTTGAGTTCAGAGAAATAGTAACAGGTAACTTGTAAAAATAATAGTGGAAAAATTTCCTCAAGTAAATGGCCATTTCTGGACAGGAATCGATGCAGCGAGAATTCTTAAACCTGCGGATTCAAGAGCAGATTCAGAGCTTCCCAAGCTCAAGAAAAGTTTTGGAAAAGGAGTTTGGATTTGTTGGTATGTTTCTATTACCAGAATATGAAAGAATAATATACATACAAGGTACCCTGAAATCAGTTTGGTACAGAATTTACAACATTCGGGAGAGTACCTCCAGTTTTAGTTACATGCTTCCACAAGGGATGGAAGACACCACCACCAATAAAAATCCCATAAATGCCTTAGAGCTGTCTTTCAGTTAATGCTGCTATTAAACACAATGTTTTTCCAGGGGCTCCTATCCAGCCTGTGTTTAGCTTTCTTATCTGATTGGGCTTCCAGTATTCCCCTTCAGAGACTGCATAATAATCTCTTTAAATATCACACATTAATAAAACATTCTTCCCCTTGATAAGCTGAATAAAAGTCTTTATCTGAATTCTTGTATATGCTAGTATGTAATATCCATGCATAATCCTAAATATATTTTGACACTGTTCAGATACTTCTATATTCTTTAGAATTACCTAAAACTATCACAACAACAAAAAGGCAATTTAAAAAAAGGCGGAGTTCAGGTCTGAAGTGTGTACTTTACTTCTGACAAGCTTTTACATATACGGCAGTTCCAACAGTATTTTTCTGGTAGAGACTCACAACTTACTTCCTGGTTACTACAATAATTATTACAGTAGGATACTTCATCAAAAGCAAGCAAATGAAACTCATCTTAGGCACGGCAAAATACATTCCAATGCCTATCACTGGAAACCATGGTTTGTAAAACAATCAGCACAAATGTCTATTTTTACCATTTCCAATTGCTGCTTTTTTTATAAACCAATTTATTTTGAATAATACTGACAAACTAAAGAGGAGGTCAAACAGCAAGTAAAGATATAGCATCACCATTGCCTCCAGGTAGGATAGAGATATAATTTTCTTCCTGCACATAGTCCAACAAGTGAGATCCCATAGAGAAAGAATATGATGTACATCTTAAAGTGCTTGTAGGGCTATAGCCCTAGGTTTTCATATTGCAAGGAATTTCTCCAAGTCTGGTGGGTTGCTAAAAAAAGTTCTCCTTGCTTTGATGTCAAGAGATTCAGATTTCCAGAATGCATATTTGAGATCCGTGACATCTTTTGAAAAGCTTCCCTTATCAGAAATTATTACATCCAGTGCTATACCTATTCTAAGCAAGTAAAGTTGTTCTGCTAGATGGTAACATAGTAAGTTTGTCAGGACATCTTGCTTTTTTAATTAGTATTTAAAAGCAATAGGAATATTGAAAATACTCTAGCTGGGTGTACCCCAGGGAATTAACAATGGATGATTTTACCCTATGCACATCTTATTTATAGTCATGCTTGCATATACATACGTTAGTATAGAGACAGGTAATCACACATGTTTATGAGACCTGGTTATATTGATATACCAGACTGGGTATAACAGACCATTCAGAAAAGACCATGTTAAACAAGGAACGACACATAAGGCCTGTCATCAAGCGTTCAAAGTCTCCAACTTAATTTGAATGAATGTAATCTGAAAGACAAGTAAACGGCCTCAGGGTTTGTAAGAAAAAAGACTGTAAATATTGATCATGTATGTATATGTCAGGAAACACACAGTGAGAGCTATAGCAGCATCACATACATACTTTCATTCTTATCATCTAGAATGATGAAATTTCATTTCTGGTGGAAATTCTGCATTCAAAATACAGACAGTTATAAGATTACCTTAAGTTAGGCAACCTGAAACTATGCACTGAAGAGTAAATTAAGCAAAGTACTAGCTGAGAGGATTATTCAGACATTTGTAATAGATGCATTGAAAATAAGATGGTATCAGAGTTGACCTTTTTCACTTTTGCCATCTATTTTGACATTGCCAGCCTAGACACTGACCTCTTGCAAGTACTGCATTCATCATACTAAAAAACTGTTGAAAAGCGATTCTGGGGAAGGGAGTGGCTCTTGAAAAAATTATGTAAGCATCATGCATCTGGTGATGTCTTTATCTAAACCACTGTTAATAGAGGCAAGCATCACACTGCATTTTTCTTTGATTACATCACACACATTTTTCCTATTAGATCTTTTTTTTTTTATACTCCTAAGTTTTTAATCACACAGCTATAGACTTTGAGAGAAATCAAACTATGCAATTCATTAGTATCCAATAAAATTAATCATGAGTTCTTTATTATTTTTTCACTTTGAGTACATATTGAGAACTCTCAAGTACAGCAATTTATCAGCTATACCCTGATGTGCTAGCTATAATGTTAAAATAATGCATCATGGTAAAACTATACTGAGAAAAGTTTCTCTTATCTATGCCTCATGCTGCAGGATTGACCTCCTGTAGTCATGGCCATGACTGGAGTCACGAAACAGCCTCCAAAGGATAAGCTTTAAAGAGATATAAACTTTTTTTTAGTGTTGAGGTTGAAAAGAGTGCATCTTTACTTTGGAAGCATCTAGCTTCCAAGGAATGCATCTACCTTTGAGTAGAGGTATTATTGTTTAAGTAGAGCTATAGGTAATAAAAGACTAAGCTAGTCTTTCCAGACTGGAAAGACAGAAGTTTAAGTACAGTCCATTAGATGCACAAAAAACTCACTGCAGCTTTTGAAAAAAATTATATATTCAAAGCTTTATGAACTAAGCATTTGATACCAAGTCTAATCAGAAGCTTTATTGAGTTCCATCAGTTTTAAAGCCTTTAGAAGCAAAATTAGGAAACGGGCAGGAATCCTGTAGAATTCACATACAGGTAGTCACTGAGAAGTATATCTGTATTCTGACTTATTGACATGCCTCTTTCAGCCAAGTATGTCTCAGTTAAAAGTGTCTGTGTTTCCCCTGGAAACAGACAACTGGATTTCTGGCATGTTAGCCTATTTTGACCACATACAGGAATTGTGAAATTAGGACTGATTCATCTGCCTGTTCAGAGATACAAGAATAACTCATCTCAGTGCTAAAGAGCTTTTCTTCCGATAGCTTCATTTCCTTCCCAAAAGTATTTAATTAGTTTTTATTCTTTGATATTTTGTCTTTGGAAGAAAAACTGGTGCTTGGAATAGAATGCTATAAAAATGGCTGAACAAGGAGATGATAGTCCTCTATTAGACCCAGTACGTGTAATGCCTGCTTGGGATACCCTTAAACTATCTTTCATGAAGAAGGGGGATCAGAGTCAAAGGCCTGAAAGCACTCAGAATGTGGGAGATCTGCAACCACATCTTTCTTTCATGAAGAATCTAGGCAGCTACGTACTTTCTTGTGCCGTACATCAAACCAGTTCATTTTAAGAAGGTCACTGCTTGGCTCAAGCTCACAAGCAATCAACCTGCTCTTGAACCACACGTGCCTTTTAGGGAGGGATTGCAGGTTGGTAAGCATTACTCTCAATATGCAAAAGCATGCCCAGATCTAACTGGTTACTAGAGAAGCAGAAAATCCTTCATTCATCAGAACTAACATTTCACATTGGGAATGAGTCTTTAATGTGTCCCATACACGCCCATCCTGCAGCCTTGCACAGGAAAATGTCAAGGGCAGGTGCCTCACTTAGCACCCTACCTGTAACACCCTACTTGTTTGTTTCCACTATAACCCAGACTCATACTTAAGCTAATTTTAAAAATACAAGTGGAATCATGTTTATCTAGTAGAGAGGGGTGAATTCCATCAAAGAAACCTTACTGAAAAAAAAAAAAATGAACCATGATAGTGATCACAGTAGGGCTACCTTCAAAACTTGTTATATTTGGTTATAAGTAGTATTATGTAGTATTTGATTCTAATGAGCTTATTTTCTCTCAAATGTCCATGTACACAAAACAGGAGTCAGGCAACAACTCAAACACATCTTTCTCAAGTATTTCAGAAGGGAAACACATTTTCCTGGCTTGGTTTTTTTTCCCAAAAAGTTTTTTAGAAAAGCTGATTTCTAACACACAGCTGAAATAACATTGTAATGATGCTTTCAAAACACAAGCTAAATAATCACACTCCTGGTTTACTGCAAATCCATTTGAATCCTTAAGTGGTTAATGAATTCAACCAGGACCCTCCATTTGGTACTAAACAGTAGCTTCTGTTGATACACTATTGAATTACGGACAGTGTATCTACTTTATAGACAAATCCTATTTTGACTCACTGAGACGCCCTTTAAAAAAAAAAAAAAAAAAAATCTTTTGGCCAGAAGCAATGGAAACTATTAAGTGCATAGGTATGAAAGCAAATGGAGAAGTTTAGTGCTGTTTTAAGTTCAAAAGTCATCTATTCTCTTCAGATAAACAAATATTTCTGATTTTCTTTTTATGTCACCAAACTTTGAGAAAGTGAAGTTTAAATTGTATTGCAGAAGAGCAGTTAGTAAAAAAATATATAGTGTACAGGCATCTCCGCCTCATGTCTCTTATTGCTTGTTTTCTCTATAAGTATGAACTTGCTCGGCTGTAAAGCTGTCAATTTACAGTTAATCCAAAACTGATCAAACATCCGAAGTATAAATACATAGTACTGAGTCACAAAGTAATGACTTACAGAACTATTCTTCCCATTTTTCCTGGTTACGTTGTCTTTATTGTGGATTCCTCATTTCACTAGTGGCTTTAAATACTTTAAAGATCATCTTATTAACATTTATAAGTAATAACCATAGCATCAGTAATAAAAATCAATGCATACAAGAAGTGACTCACTAGCTCGTTGACAGTGCTCCTCTTCACTTTGGAACGGGCTGAATTCATAAGCAGATATTTTGCTCTTTAGTAACAAAGTCAGAACATTGTCCAGCTTCTCTACAGAAGAAAATTTCAAAGTCTGTTTAAAAGAAAAAATTTTTTAAAATTAGGACATTTGTTGTGCATGTATTTTTAACTTTATCCTGAGTGCTGGTGAATCAAATTACTCAAAACAGTTATTATTACAAACTCAGTAACCACAGCATAGTTTTTGAAAGCTACAGAAGAAATATTCTAATATAGAAGGATCACGGTAACATGATCCAATTGGAGGCAAACAGGTATTGTAACATGAAGTTTAGCTGTCACCAAAAACTTCTGGATGAAAAGTAAGGACAGGAAGCTTTGTATTAATCAACTCTCGATTTAGCTACAACAATGCAATGTAAAAACCAAGAACTGTTCTGACAGATGTCAGGTGCCAATAAATCCAAGGTCTTACTATAGCAGTAATTGAGTTAAAGACTACAGTAGCTCTCTGTTACCTAAAATCTTTAGATTAAGATTGTGTACTTTCCCAGGTAGGAAACAGCTTCAGTTCCATCAGGCAAAGCGTAACATGCTGACAGATTAAGAAACTGATAGCAACCAGTTAGATTAGCTTCCTGCTAAATACATAGCCTTCAGATAAGGGAAATCATTGCTAACTACCATTGTTTGATTGCCTCTTTCTGGACAGAAGGCCAAGATCTATCCCTAATGGTGTTTCTTTGCTTGGTGTGACAAGAGAAGCAAGACTACAGAGACTTGAACAGTAAGGATATTTTACACTGAATACTATGGTGCTTGTCTAGTCTGTGCTGCACTGGGCACCAAAAAGAGCTCAGCCACAGCAGGCAAGTGCTCAGGAGGAGTTGGCTTACTCTGCTCAGCTATCAGCAGCCCTGCGTTAAAGTTTGCCTTCCCATAGCTGAACTGTTTCTGGTAAAGACAATTCTGGGATCGCTAACAAGGAATATCTGCAGACACACTTAACATATAAACTTAAAAAGAAAGTCTGTGACTGACAGAAGGAGAAAAGGACAGAGGTCTCTAACCGATGAAACATGAAGTTTAATTCCCAATCCTGTTAAAAGTGAATAAGTACGACATGATATGAAAATGTTGAGTACACAGGCAGGATATAATTTTCACCTGAGTCCTACCCAAAATTCAAAGACAAGTTTGTGCAGGTAGGGAGCTACCAATAATAAAATAAGGTTGTTTATTTTCCCCACAAATAATACTAGTCCTTACCAGATTTACAGGGTGAATTGAGAAAAAGTTATACAAAACCTCCTTGGATTATCTATCAACTCCCCCCCATGAATAACCACATTAAATTTAAAAATTAAGAGAAATATTAAAACTCAGTTAGGAAACTGTACTATTCGCTCTTATTTCAAGTAGGTCTTATTCGATATGGTATCATCATTGGTACTCCCTTAATAAAGTTCAATCTAGAATAGGACAAAAATGTATTAACACTGGAACTAGCTCAGATGTGTCTATATGCAAATATTGTGCCATGAAGAAAGAAGCTCAAAACCAATGGTATTCACTGAAACAACTGTAGAGCAAAAATTCCACTAAACAAAGAATAAACATATAGGTGGGCTTCTAGACAAACTAAACCTGAAGTTTATTTTTAGTTTCCATTTAAAATGGCAGGGACACCCCTTACACATTTTGCTACCTATCTAGCCCTCTCTGTTCAAAAGAAAATGAACAAGCACACACCCCAGCAACACCTGCCTCTTACCATCTGTCCTGAAATGCCCAAGAAGCAATTTCAGACAGAATCCATTTCAGACTGCCTTGTATATGAAAGCCAAATAAACACTCCACAGGCTCTTTTCAGAAAGCACTGAGGGTAATCTTGCCTACAAAGCTCCTCTGCTTTTTAATGAGTTGAGGCAGGAATCCTTCCTTCTTTTATTCAGACAAAAATCTGGGGGAGGAGTACCTTAAGAGTGTATAGCTCTTACTTTGCACTCAGACAACCAAATTGTTTCACAAACTGAGATGGAACAAGTTCTTGAAATGAGAATACCGCAGCAAAATTTGCAAGGCCATAAACAGTTGCATGGCTTAACCACAGCAGGCTAGCTCAGTTTTTACAAACTGCTGAGACAGAAGTTAGGCTGTCTGATCTCTCAAAGGTAACAGATTAAATTAGAGCTAAACTTCCCATGCTTTAACAGGCCTGCCTTCCAATGACCAGCCTATTCATTTCTATGATTCCCAAGTCAGGCACAACACACCTCTTTGTAAGAGTTATCAGTGCAAACTGCTTCAAGTTTTCCACCTCAGATTTTTTTCTCTTACTGCATGGGTCTAAAATCTGAAGGCCCAAACAATGATTTAACAAGCTATCTTGTTAACTAAACCATAGTAGCTTTGTTCTGTTACTCTACACAGTAGGAAAATCTAGTTTAGTTATTTTTAAAAAGAAAGTATACATTAACATTTTTTATCTCACATGCAGAAGAGGCACCTGTAGAGTATTTATGTGAAAATAATAACAGAAATAACAGTGAAAGAGAACTAGCAATAGGACCACCCTGCACTATCCAGATCCATACTAACATAAAGGTCACCTCCTCCAAGAAGAAATTCAGTTTAAAGACTTCTACTTTACTGACCATTCCTGCTCCAGAGCACCCATAGACTGTAAGTATGGTGCATTTACTTAGTTTGATGTACCTTACACAGATCTCCAGAGACCCAGGAAATCTTCCCTAAAAATTCCACCAACTCTATACACCTGGAGTTCATACTGAAGCTTCACCAAATCCAACAAAATTATTTAAAGTTAAGCACTTAAAACACTGTGTGAGTAGGGAGTTTGAAAGAGCCCACATTTTATATGAATAAAGATTTAAAACATGACAGAGAAGAAATAAAAGTACCATCTTCTTCCTGTGTCCTTGCAGGCAAGTTCCTTCTAGGAGCTGCTCAGAATTAAGCTAGAGTTTGTAGGAAATTCCCCCATGCTCTCCAAAGTACAGCCAGCTGGTCTCTAGTCCACCCTTCAATCTCACTCCTTCTGCAAACAATACCTGCCCCAGAACTCATCACCAGCAACTTGTCCTTGCTCAGTATCACCTCCCCAGGTGTAGGCACTATCTCCATTCCCTTGCCTCCTTTTCAGAGCAACAGGACACAGCTGTGAACAACAAAGCCCTAAATGCTTAGCATCACACCTGGCCTTTGAAAAGAAGAAGACCAAGCACATATTTTGCAACTTTTGTGAACAAGATGATCTACATTCTTTAACAGCTGTTAACAAAGCCCTGAAAAGGTGTACCACTGAAACAGAGCATACGCAGCCAACAAATTAACATATTTCTCACTGGCTTTAGCAGTACTAACAAAGTTACATTTACATAAAAATTAACACATGCACTTCAATATCTAAATTACTTCTGCCAAATAGAATAGGCTGGGCTTAAAAATCACTTTGGCATTTCTGACAATTTTAGCCAGTGACAGAATACAGAGAGGTTTCATACTTAGAGGAAAAGAAAGAAACATTTTAAAATTAGAGCTGCTGGTGGAGCTTACAAGGTTGAAATATTAAAAACAGTTTCAAAGGAGGTATCTCTGGGGAGCAGGAAAGGCACATACATAGTATCACCACATAAGCCGTATAGCTATTTCTTACAAGTTTTCATAAAAAAGGCTGCAGTTTATTTTCATTCTTCTTCAATATACACTGTAACTGGAATCCTGTTTGATGACTATGATAAAAACATCCTTTAAGATACCAAATCTCTCAGAATCATAGCAGTATTATTCAACCAAAGTTTGTCATGAAGACTTCCTGCATCTCTCCAGATATTCTAAGTCAATCAAACTAACATGAACCCATCAATTCCAGTAATAAGGATATGACCTTAGTTTGAATTTTTTTTTGAAACCCTAAGAAATCACTACAGGAAACCCTAACACTAAATAATTGAATCACGTGGTAGAAAGCGTGAGAGAAAAATCAACACAGCATGTCAATCCCGTAGAATGCTGAAATGAGAAGTTAATGAAAACAACAAAATAAAATATGAAAAAGTTCATTTATGAATTATGAGAACCTTAAAATCAGTCTGTGCACCGGGTTACTGTAAGAACACAAACTCCCTAAGGGAGTTTCTTTAATGTAGAATTATAGTAGACTGAGAGAACAAAAAAATTCATGGCCTTTAGCCAATGTGCACCCTCATATATACTGATAGTAAGTTCATTCAGCGTTATGATTCAGTTATCTCTTCCTACTCGACTATAAAATGTCAGGTATTTTTCTTTGAAAATATATGCAAAGAAACTTATTTAATTTTTTACTCTATTTATCTCCTTACATTTTAAATGTTTACTTGGTTGTTTAAAATGTCTTGGTAATGTTGGTAAATGCTTTTTAAACTCAGACAAATTTGGAACATAGAAAATTACAATCTATCAGATGTGGCAAAGAACTTCATCCAGTGAATTTACAAATCCATGGTCTGTAAAAAACTTACACTATGTTTAATCTAAAATATGGCTAGTGTTAAACTTTAATTCTTCTCTAAAAAGAGGAATCCATAAGTGTAGTTGTACTATATACTTTGTTGGTACTGAGATACATGAACTGACCTGACCATCAGTAAAAGGAATGGATAGCTGTAAGCCTATTTGTTGGATTTTGTTTATCTGTTTGGCTTTATTGGGGGACAAAGTGGAGAAGGGGACAATAATCTCAACAATGATAGCATCTCAAAGTAGCTGGAAGGGTTGGCAACACAATATGTAATACAATGAGAGAATTTTACCAAACCATTGTGGTTTTGGTATGCAATATTGTAGCAATTTGCTTTCATCACAGAATTTTAATATGGAGATACTTCTCAGGTTGCAAGCATTTGTAAAAATCTTGAACGTTTTTGAACAACAGAGTGATTTTGCTTTGATCAATAATTGCTGTAAGCTTTTCTATTTTATTTTAATTTTTGTTCTATTGTGTTAGATTGTTACTTTGTATAGATAAACCACTGTTGCCCTAGGATACTTTTGCAAATAAGATGATAGTCTCAAAGGTTTTCATTAGCTTGGTTAAATAAAAGTTACTACTACTCCTGCTATTTGATGGAATTCTAATTAGTATCAAGTCTTATTTTTCCTTGTGTGAACATATTTTTAAAGATTAAGTTAAATCATGTTCTGTAAATTGCATCTTTATGACCTATCTTATTGCCATTAAATCAGGTTTACATCAGAGCCTGGAGTATTTTAAAAGGTTGTGGAAATAGTTTAGCTTACCTAGCTAGTTAGTGTACCTCACTCCGTGGTCCAGCAGGTACCATTAAATGATGACAAACATTCCAACCCATATGTACACTTACAAAAGAATTACCATTAGTATACATTCACACAGAGCAGATTCTGTGTGGATTGTAAAACTTAACCAATTATAAAAATTTTCACAGCATTAATTCTTCAGTTGCTAAAACAATAAAATTAAGAGCAGGTAAACAGTGTCTCCTCATTTAAACCTTTGCTTATTATCCAGATGAGTAAAGGTTAGGAAACTGTTAAATGTACCTGATAGGCATAACACTACAGCTGTATATCATGGCGTGCACTACTGCTCTGCACCGGATTATTTTTGCATTTGAACATAATTTGAATTGCATGTGTCTTATTAAATATTAGTCATGCTGGTTAAATGAAGGGTCAAACTCTTGAATAACGCAAATAATTCTCCAGTGGAAATACCAGCTGTGTTGTAGGTATCTAGGTTACCATGTTAATTATAATTTTTTTAATTATTATGACACACTTCTTATGCATAAAATTTTAAATTAAAATTGTTAGAAGCTTACTTCAATGTTCTTCCAATTACAGACTAAAGAATGATGGATATTCTAAAGATTTTAAGAACGGATTTGTACTGAGAGCTGCACTCTTGTTGTGCAACAGCCTGTTTTCTTAAAACAGAAGTGACTTGTACTTGGAAGAAATCTACTCCCATCCTTAATAGAACACTAATAATGTAATACATCATTTTTTATTAATCCTTTCATTATGAGTGTAATGCCTTAGGTGGTAGATAAGGTAGATTTGTCACAGGAAAATGAGACTGCCTGCACTGGAAACACAGACTATTATTTTTGTTCTGGCTCTGCAATTACAATATAGACATCATGACAAGTCTGTCTGGGCTACCCACCATTCAACAAATGATACTTGAGATTCCATCCTTTCCTAACAGATGCTTTCTTTTTTTTATTATTATTTTGTAAATACCATTGGAATTGCTGCAGAGCACTGCAGCCTGCTGTGCTGATTTGAAACCCAGCTCAAAACCTGAATTCTTCTAAATATATGCAAACAATCTGCATGGCAACCACCAAACCATATGAACGATAATTCAGCAGCTGTAAATGGACTCTATATGAACAGCAACCTACTGTCTTCCATACAAGCTATTCCAGAAAAATCCTGCTTTCTGGTCACTGAGTAATAATCTTCCAAATACAATGTGATTTGAGACTACTTGCTTCTACTGAGTTTAGAACATACTAAAAAGAACACGTTACATGGAGAGTGACATCGCTACTGTTTGTTATTATTTTCATCCTGTGTAATGCAGGATGTTGTTCGTTGGGCATATACAGCACAAAGGATGTTTATATCACTCTCTAAACAGAAACAAAAGAAGAGAGAAAATTTATTTTTACTTGCTTGACATACTTACAACAAGGCATCTCAAAGACAGGCCTCTGTAATCCTCTGCCTATTATTGAGCCATTACTCATTACTGTGCAATCAAAAGACTGTGTGTTATCTCTTAGCTCATATACGCACTTATATTCTACTTTTTATTAAAAATGCAGAAGTCAACTTACCTGACAAGTGAAAGCTATTGGGTCAGCCACTTTCTTAAATATGTGCTCAATCTCCTCTAGTGAAGTATAGTACTCGATCTGCGCTGTGGCCTTAATGTCTCCCCCACAGTAGACATTTACATATACAAGGCCAGCAGGAAAATCTTATAAAACACAAATCAGAACAGTAGGTGAAAATATTTTAAATTCCAGATGGGAGGTCTTGGGGAATGAGTGAAAGAACAGGAATATATAACAGAAAATGCACAGAGGCAACAAACTGGATCTGCATTTCACAGATGACTCAGCATAGTTAGTTTTTTATCCAGGTCTTTCAGTCCATATTAAAAATCTGGCAAAAGAAAATATATATCTGCACATCTGTATAAAACAAAGCTATTGTATTGCTTCACATTAGAAAGATGAAAACGGTATGCTTCAAATTTCCAACCTTCCTTTGATAGATTGATGACCTATAATCAGCTCCCTTATGCCTACAAATTAAGGAAAAGTTAATTTATTATAAATAGTGGAATTGCTATTCATCTTTTGAAACATTTTTCTTAACTGCAGGCAAGGTTCTCAAAATTGGATTTGAACTAGGCTGCAGCAATTGCAGTATAATTACTTCCATTCCAGTTGTTTACCTAGTAAAAGCAAAGGAAAGCGGCATTTGTACAGTCTGTTACTTAAGTATGACTTGCTCTGTGTATGCAGCATAAGCCCTCTTTATGAGCACATTTTATAATTCATTAGTATTCACTGTGCCAGGCATCCTGCTGTACCATACCAGCACTAGCACGGTTTTCTTGAAATTCTAACTCTGCCCACAAAAGAGCGATAAAAATGGGCAACCCTGAAAATGGAGAAGAGTAATAGGGCCAAAGAAACTAAAAGAATAGAACACCACCTTAAATCACTTCAGTGGAAACTGCCCAAATGCTTTTTTTTTTTTTTTTCCCCTCAAACCCCCCCTATTTTTCTTATAACATCAGATCAGCTGGACCCTTATTAAAAAAGAGTACTTCCAAACATCCAGCTTTTCCAGATTTTGAAATAGAAAAAAGCCCCAAAGAGAAGCATTAAATACAAATGACAGAAGAAACAAAATCAAACTTGGGCTGCAGCTCTCTGCCAAACTTTTCATAATATTTCATTTATTGTTCATATTTTATTTCTCTATCCACTATAGAAACCTTCCTGTGATAAACAATGTTCTCACAGAATAATTCTGGAAGAATCTTTTAAGATCTGTGAATGAGGATTTCAGCTTTCCTTCTCTGAAATTCAGTTACAGATGAAAGTTTCTTGTTGACCAAGTACTTCCCAATCAGGTCTCTAAAAACAAACTCTCTGCACCATCACACTGGTAAAGAACTCTCAGGCCATACATGGCCATCATCTCAGGACAGTGTTCAGGAAGAAAAATCAGGCCACAGAATTACCCAAAAAAGCTCCAAGAAGCCACAGTGGAAAACTGTAGCCACATATATATGTAATTCTTCCTATCTGATGTTATATTGCAATGGTTTTAGAATAAAGTATAAGTTCCTTTGGGAATTCACAGCATGTAGTGCAGTAGCAAGCTACATGCTGAATACTTAGGTTAAAAATTCTTTAAATCTTAACTGACATCAAGTGAGTGGGGACACATGTGTCCCTTAAATCTGCACACATCTCCTAAGCGAAACTGTTGTTAAATAGTTGAAACTGTTGGCAACTGGCTATGGATGGAGCAGTTTAAAAAATCATTAGAAACCAGCAGAGCTGAGTGATCTGAGAAAAGGCATGGACATGAACAAAGAAAATAAATTATTTTCTGTATCAGTAAGAATTATAAAGAGAAGTATAACCAAGTTTACGGCATTAAATATAAAATGAAACATTTTAGTAATGGAATAGTAAGAAAAGAGTATTAGCTTTGCATTTCATGGCAGTAATTTTGAAGAATGTTAATCTGTGACTAATCAATGACATTTTAAGTCTGCCACCTGCCATTTAACCACACAAAAACAATCTAACAGAACCTAGTTTCCCATAAATCACAAGGCCTTGCTTTTCTGCATTATTAATAAATGTACTGTGTGCAAAACCCGTGTACAGGAAACAGCTACAAAATAGTGGGAAGTGAAACTACTTATCAGAAAAAGTGAAGGGAGTCCAAAATTTTCTGTTTACTTAAAGGTAAAGAATGTTTTTCTTACCTAAGGCTTTCATGTACTTCACATTCTTATTCCAAGAGGATGGCTGTGTCCTAATTCGTTGATTATCTGCTATGAACTCAATTTCTAAAGTTTCGTCATCTATTTCATCTTTCAACAAAATGAATATTTCACCAGGGTTCTATAAAATTAAAATAGGTTCCCATTAGTCCTTCAGAAAATTATACTGAAAGTGTAAAATGCAAAACATAAGTTGGAAAGAAAGTTCCTTTACCAACAGCTTCACACAAAATAATCATAATACCCAAACATGATGCCATCTCAGTGTTAGCCTTTTGTATTTTACTGACATAAATGACAGAATTAATGTGGTGTTTTAAATTCAGCTTACCTAACAATCTTTTAAAACAGTATTTTAAATGACACAGGGACACTCTCATTTTGGCCCCTTATCTGCTATTTGTTTTCAAAACTGTTACAGTATGAATGAGGTTGCAGCAGAAAGAGGAGAAGAACACTGACTCTTATCCCAAAGTTTTGAGCATCCAAAAACCTTACCTCACATGATATTCTTCCTGGAAGCACCAGTATCGACTGCTCGTTAGTTTCTAAGGTTTCAGAAAGTACCTCTGTTATAGAACTGAGGTCTCTTTTTTCTGATGCTCCCCTGATATCTGACAAGTTAACATCAGAGTTAGTCTGGTGATCTGAAATAAATAACGTGGAATGAGGACATTGTTAATAATCCCAGATCAACTAAACATGGCAATGATGTGGTTTCTAACTTATTACTCATATGGCATTTGGAGACACATTAAGCGTGTTGCATCAAAGCCTGGCAAAATTCCTTTTCATGTAAATGTGGTGAGGTTTCCCCCTTTGATGAAGAGCTGGCCTCTGAAGTTCTGATCCTGCAGCCTTTATTTATATGAACAAGTTCTGTTCATATGCTTTGTCTTGATAAAGTCAAAAGGGATGTGGCCTTTAGAACAAAGTCATTGCGACCAACAAGGTCACAGAGATCAGCCAGTTTCATAGTCTCAAAAGAACAAACTCTCAGACACTGGAATAAACTGGGATTTTGTCATAGTTTGAGCCCAGAGGGCAACTGAGCACAACATAGCTGCTCACTCACCCCTTCCCCCTCAGGAATGGGAAGGAGAGAATAAAGCAAAAGGCTTGGGAATCAAGATAAGGATGGGGAGAGATGTCTCACCCATTATGGTCACGGGCAAAAGACAGACTCATTAGGGGAAGAAAAAGAACATCAATTTAATTCAAACACTAACAACAACACTTAACAAACAGAGCAGGACCGTGAAAAGTATAACCACATCTTAAAAACACCTTCCCCTCACCCCTCCCTTCTTCCTAGGCTCAGCTTTGCTGCCAGATTCTCTACCTCCTCCCCTCTAGCTGCACAGAGAGGCAGGGAAGGGGTTAGAGTCAGTCCTCCTTGGGGGGAGTGAACTGATCGTATTCTTCCCCTGCTCTGAGCATGGGGTCCCTCTCACGGGAGATAGTCCTCCACAATCTCACATGAGTCCTTCCCATGGGCTTCAGCTCTTCCAGAGCTGCTCCGGTGTAGACGCCTCCTGTGTGTTGCAATCTTCCCGCTGCCAAACTACAACAGCGGGGGCTTCTTCCCATAGAATCGCAGCCTCTTTCGGGCACAGACACCTGCTCCAGCATGAGGTCCTCCACGGGCTGCAGGTTGATATCTGCTCCACTGGTGACCTCCACGGCAGCAGCGAGGGAGGCCCTGCCCTCTCACCCATGGGTGCAGGGGGGTCTCTGCTCCTGCTCACCTCCCCCTCTTCCTCCTCTTTTCTTCCGCTGACCTCGGTGTTTGCATAGGTGTCTCCTTCACAACTTCTCCTCACAACTCCCACTTCTCCGTCCAGGTTCCCCTTCTTAAATACGTTATCTCAGAGGCACAGACACCATTACTAATTGGCTTGGTCTTGTTGCAGAGGTGGATCTGACCTGGAGCCGGGGGAGCTTCAGGAAGATTCTCACACCGGGGGGGCCACTGCTGTAGCTCCTTCCTCTGCTACCAAAAATCCCCGCAATTCACAAACCCAACACAGATTTTTACCAGTCTTGTTTTCCCTATATGTTAATAAGAAGATGCTACATGTTTACATCAGTCCACCTGTGTACAGTAAAGATTTATGTGAGGGCAGTGATACCTGTGACCAGGTAACTATGACAGTAGACAGAGATTTCCTTGACACAGACTCCAAAGTCTTTGCCTTCCTTCACAGACAGAATGATGGACTGAAGGCATACATATTTTGTGTAGGATATTCTGGGTTTGGAAATGCTATGCCAGTCATACAGATAGCTTGCAAACAGTTTATTTTCTGTTTTGCTGTACCAGTAAAGGCCTGCAAGCCATAGTGAATCCTTCACCAAATCACAGAATTTTAATGAGGAAATATAAAAGAACTGACAACTGCTTCTGCAGAGCTCTGACTAAGCCTCTGTTTTAGATAAGCTATTCTTTACACCTGCTACTTCTCAGATGTATCATTACTACTTCTTTCCAGACACTCTATTACCCCATACAAAATGGTCTTGCCACCCATCTCAAAGGACTGCAGCAGCTCTTCATCATGCAGGATTACCCAGCATATTGCAGTCACCTAGTTAGATTAATGATACCATTCCAAGCAGCTCAGAGTTAAAAAATCTTGACTGGCTGGTGAGAAAATATCCTGAGAGACATCAACAGTATCTTGTATTACTGTAAATTATGGAACACTCACAGTGAATTACATTCAAGGACACAAATAACTTTTAAGGCACATCTTTTGCTCTTAAATAGAAGTAGAATATTAATATAAATTAGTGATGGGCAGAATACAGAACAGTAGCAACTTGCTTTTGCTCAAACAAGTACCACAGCCATTTTCATTTTTTTCCAAAAGTGCCCAAGTACTGAGGTACACAAGCCACACAGTGATTCTAAGCATCACAGAACTCTTTCAATTCAGCATCAGTATTGGTAATTTACAGTTAGTTTTCTTACTTCTTGCTTGCCTTTATTTTCCTCATATGTAAGTTTGTCAGATACAGTGTTCCCTTTTCTTACCAACCTTACCTTGCTTAAGAAGACACAGATTTAATAAACTTCTATAATAAATATGCCTGCTAAGTGAAGTTATGCCAGGGAAGGTAGTATAGAAACTTGGGTATGCTATGTCTGATGCAGATTTTTTCTTCCCAGAGATGTGCTTTGAATGTTAGAGAAAAGAAAAAAGAGAAGAGAAGAGAAGAGAAGAGAAGAGAAGAGAAGAGAAGAGAAGAGAAGAGAAGAGAAGAGAAGAGGAAGAGAAGAGGAAGAGAAGAGGAAGAGAAGAGGAGAGAAGAGGAGAGAAGAGAGAAGAGAAGAGAAGAGAAGAGAAGAGAAGAGAAGAGAAGAGAAGAGAAGAGAAGAGAAGAGAAGAGAAGAGAAGAGAAGAGAAGAGAAGAGAAGAGAAGAGAAGAGAAGAGAAGAGAAGAGAAGAGAAGAGAAGAGAAGAGAAGAGAAGAGAAGAGAAGAGAAGAGAAGAGAAGAGAAGAGAAGAGAAGAGAAGAGAAGAGAAGAGAAGAGAAGAGAAGAGAAGAGAAGAGAAGAGAAGAGAAGAGAAGAGAAGAGAAGAGAAGAGAAGAGAAGAGAAGAGAAGAGAAGAGAAGAGAAGAGAAGAGAAGAGAAGAGAAGAGAAGAGAAGAGAAGAGAAGAGAAGAGAAGAGAAGAGAAGAGAAGAGAAGAGAAGAGAAGAGAAGAGAAGAGAAGAGAAGAGAAGAGAAGAGAAGAGAAGAGAAGAGAAGAGAAGAGAAGAGAAGAGAAGAGAAGAGAAGAGAAGAGAAGAGAAGAGAAGAGAAGAGAAGAGAAGAGAAGAGAAGAGAAGAGAAGAGAAGAGAAGAGAAGAGAAGAGAAGAGAAGAGAAGAGAAGAGAAGAGAAGAGAAGAGAAGAGAAGAGAAGAGAAGAGAAGAGAAGAGAAGAGAAGAGAAGAGAAGAGAAGAGAAGAGAAGAGAAGAGAAGAGAAGAGAAGAGAAGAGAAGAGAAGAGAAGAGAAGAGAAGAGAAGAGAAGAGAAGAGAAGAGAAGAGAAGAGAAGAGAAGAGAAGAGAAGAGAAGAGAAGAGAAGAGAAGAGAAGAGAAGAGAAGAGAAGAGAAGAGAAGAGAAGAGAAGAGAAGAGAAGAGAAGAGAAGAGAAGAGAAGAGAAGAGAAGAGAAGAGAAGAGAAGAGAAGAGAAGAGAAGAGAAGAGAAGAGAAGAGAAGAGAAGAGAAGAGAAGAGAAGAGAAGAGAAGAGAAGAGAAGAGAAGAGAAGAGAAGAGAAGAGAAGAGAAGAGAAGAGAAGAGAAGAGAAGAGAAGAGAAGAGAAGAGAAGAGAAG